TCGTCGACAACAACGGCTGCCACGGTGAGACCGAGAAGTCCAGTGAAAGCATGTTCCTTGCGGCGGGTAGCCACCACGTTGTGGCGGAGATGTGCGAGAAGAGTGGCGGCCAGGCTTTAAAGATGCGATACCAGGGGCCAGATACCGGTGGCTCCAAAGTCACGGTGCCCGCGTCGGTTTTAAAGCACGCAAAGTGATGCTGCAAGCGTAGCAGCAGGGTTCTTGAGTGGTCCGACTTGGACTCTATGCAGCTCAGTTCTGAGCTTGTGCGTGGAAAAGGAAGGAGTAGAACCCCGAGCTGGATGGGTAGTGTCCGGTTGAACAAACCCGACGATAACCTGAGCCGCCAGGGCCTGACCTCTGCCGCGTCGAGCTGCGACGGCGTTGGCCCGGGACACAGATCGAAGAAGGGACTGTTTGAGCTCGGGGTTCTTTGGTGGTGCATGTGGGCATGAAGCATGGTCATTTCCCATGCAGAGTGGAGGAGCTATGTCGAAGCAAGTGCAGCCAGGTTGGTGCATAGAGATCTCTGATTCCAGCTCCGACAGATTCGGACCGCAGAGAACAGGTGTTGAAGCATTCTTCGAGCCTCCAGTTTCTAAACCAATGTCATGGTGCCCGCAGCAGTCGCGGCGTCCTATGATTTTGGAGTAGCTGTGGCTGCGGCAAGTACGACAAAAGGAGGCGGCGTCACAAATCCTGGTTTCGCATATGTTTGCATGCTAACTGAGTTCTCTACCTCGTAGATGCTCCCTGGTCCCTCATGCAGACTGGACAAAGTTTTCAAGTTGGTACCGGCATCTTGGATTGCCTTCTTCCCGCCTGCTGCAGTTGTCAAATCTTGTCTGCAAAACCGAGTTCCAAGCACTGAAGTCTCCGGTCAGGGTGTTGTTTGGTGCCCTAAGTTTGTTCGCACTGCAGTCAAGGTCACGGCCTTGCTTTCTGGTGCAAGGAGCTGCTCAGGCAAAGTTGCCTTGGGGAGGAGGGAGGGAGACAAGCGCGGCGCTCTAATTCTGTAGCCCTGCAGTTTCTGCTTTCGGGGCTGTCCACCATGGTCCTGTAAACCCTCATGGAGTTGGGTTGTGCTCATGCGGCCGTGTTGCGTCGAGCTTTTCTGCCACAGATTTTCAATTGTGAAGTCCTGGCGGCTTCCGAGTACGAGCCCTTCCTGTATCTAACGAAGCAAGTGGAGCGTGGTGCCCTACACGGTCGGCCATGCTTTCCCATAGCAAGTTTCCAACATGGCTTGCTTGGATGTATTGCGTGACGAATGTCCCTTGGCAAGAATTTGGAGTTTTCGCGTTCTAACCTTTGGCTTCCAGTCCTTTTTACGGATCCGTCTGACTTGTATCCAGAATCCAGAATTTGCAGGTCGGCTCTTTCAAGCTTTCGAGCATCCCTCTCAACACGACCGGTCCCGATGCTGGCAACATGTCGGAAGGGGACCAGAACGTGAGCGAACTTCTTGCCAAGACCGTCGTCGGTGAAATGAAGGACTGCCTTTTCCTTTTCCGACCCCGCAACCCTGTGTAATCTGAGATGTCGAGGACTTCGGCTACATGCCCGATCCGAAAGACAAGGGCGAGATGGGTGGCGCCATCGGCGAGCTAGGCAAGAGCTTGGAGTTCTTGATGCTCAAGGTCGCCCAACTTGAGACCCTGGCGGAGTTGCAGCAGACGGAGCTCGGAATGGCGCAGAAGGAGCTCGGCGAGCAGCGCACTCTGATTGAGAAGCTCCAGAAGAAAGTGGATCCCGATGAAGCAGAAGTCCAAATGGCACAGAAGCAGAAGAGTTCCGAGGAGAGAGTGCAGGAAGCACACGACGTCTTGAAGAGGGTGGTCCAGAAGCATGCTCACCAGCGGGAGCACCGGGAGTACGATCCGGAGACCCACAAGAAGCCGAAGCAGGCAGTGCACGCAGATGAGGAGGAGGAGCTGGAGGAAGAGGAGGTTTCAGAAGGCGTCAGCCCCGGACAGTGGCCGAGATCCCTGCTCCAAAAGCGCGAAGGCCGCGAAGGCTTGATTCCATTTATTCCTACTCCTGGCCTGAGGCGACGAATCGAGAAAAAGATCGAGGAGGGAGCCAAGTATCTCCACAAGGGAGTCGACGAAGCCGTGAAAGCCGTGGACGGCACCGGACTCACCGGGGGCGCCTTGACCGAAGCTTACAACGCAGCCAAAGATGCAGGGAATGCCGCGGAGTTCGTGGCGAACACCGCAATCTCCACAGTGGAGATGGCCGTGTCGATCCTGACTGCAGGCTGGGTGAGAGCTAAGGGCAGAGAGCGTGTCGTGGCTCGAGGTTTCATGCTTCGGTCTGGGGCTGCCCCTGATCCCCGAGAGGCTTCGACGATTGGGGTGCGACCTGCAACAACGCTGCTCCCAGCCTTGGCATGAATGGAAGAACGTTCGAAATCAACTTCGGACGCCAGCGCTGCAAGGTCTCCCTCATGAATCAGGAGATGACTCTTTACGACTTCAACTGGGGCAAGAAGACGGTAAACCTGCCCGCGCTGCCCGAGAAGGTGCAGAAGGTTGCCGATGGCAACGTGAAAGATCTTCTACCCAACCCTTTGAAAATAGTTGCCGATGGCAATATCCAGAATCTTCTGCCCAACCCGTTGAAAAACATTGCCAGTGGTGACATCATGGGTCTCTTACCCGGACAGCTGAAAAAGATTACCGATGGCAACATCATGGGTCTCTTACCCGGAAAGCTGAATAAGATTGCCGATGGCAACATCATGGGTCTCCTGCCTAACCCGTTGAAGACAATTGCCGATGGCAACATCCTGCAGCTCATACCTGCAATGGAAGTTCTTTCAGGTGGAAAGACGAATTCCCTACAAAACATGCTAACCCTGGGCGACGCACTCTTGGATTGCTCCGGCTCAGAGGAAAGTGAACTGGTGAAGTGCCTCGGCATCAAGATCATCTCAAACAGTCCTCCCCTGAACTTCTTGAACCGCCTGGGGGACATCTTCGAAGAGTTCGTCGGGTCTTTTTCCAAGGTGGCCGCGGCCCTAAGCAGCCAAGCCATGAAGAATGGGCAGTCGCTGCTGCAGGCGGCCGCCACAAGTGAATTCCCAAAAGCTGGTGCTCCGGCTGTGGTGCACCATCAAACGCCCAACTTCATCATCAGCAAGCATTCGCAGCGGGCCGCGAGAAACGCTGTTCTCCTACAGCGGGACGATGATGACGACGATCCTCAGGCGGCGGTGAGTTGGAGCTTCAGCGACTACGGACCGGAAATCCGCACCTTGGTCACTCAGTTCGATGGCAAGGAGACCTCCACAGGCTCCTGCCTGGCCTTTGCGCCCAGGAACAAGACGGGGAGCAACAACCAGGCGACCAAGGAGGATTGGCAGGCTGCGAGCGAGGACGACTTTGTGAAGCTGGAGCCTTGGGCGGTTCCCTGCAGCAACAAGTGGATGAAGGACAACTGGGACAAGTGGCAAGGCTATTCGTTCTACACGTCGGACATGCAGATTGAGAAGTGCGTCACGGTGACCTTCCAGTTGAACATGCAGCCTGTGATCGCGTTCGTGGGCGGCATCCAGTTCGACTTGCTACCGGGGCCGCTGGCGGAAGTGAACACCCAAGTCTGCTGGCCACAGACTCAGCCGGGTGGCCTGGACTTGAGCGTCCTGCGCTCCGAGATCAAGTCCAACGGCATCCTCCTCTTCAGCCGGACGCTGCGCCTCTCCAAGCGCTTCGGCGAGGACACGCACTTCACAGCTTCGAACA